TGTAAACTTCTTGTCATGCTGCAATTTATTAAAGAATGAAATAAATTCATGTATCCCCTGTTTTGTGAAAATTAAAATCGAATTTTCAACATATTTTTGATAAAATTTAATGAAATATGTAATTGAAAAGTTATGAGTTAAATATATGATTAAAATTGATTATTGACTTTGACTTTGATAAAACTATCAAACATGAGCGTAATATATAAGTGAAGTTGAGAGGTGGACAGACACATTTAGCTTTTTAATTGCGAAAAAATTGAATTTTCCATTAACGTATCTCCAAGAGATCACGGGTGGAGGTACGGGTCCAAGGCTGTTCAAACCCATTTATTTTTTAATATGTAAGACAAAATAAATAAATAAATAAATAAGATTACGTGATCAATTTGGTGTCCATAATTAGCACAATTCACATGAGATGACATTTTATACATTTATCTAAGTTTTCTTGTGAANNNACATTTATCTAAGTTTTCTTGTGAATTGATTAGGCCACGTTACTACATGAACAAAATATAAGATTACGTGATCAATTTGTTGTCCATAATCTTGAATTATTACTCTTGTGACATGATTGAATCTTATTTAACTATTTGAATTCAAGAATCTAGAAAATTAACTAGAATGAAGCATTATATCACTCTTGAAGTATAAGAATTATGCACGTCTATATTTGCAAACACTTGAACACCATCACCATCACCATCACCATCATATTTTCCTTGTTTTAAGTCACCACACATTTGATGTGACTTATTTTAAATCGAATTAAATTTAAACAAATTCAACATGAACGAACATGTTTCTAACATGAATTATACACTGATTGCGTCAAGGCTAGAATCTCCTTTAAAATAAATTATGTTATCACAAGGAAATGCATGCCAACCCTAAAAAGGAAGCAATAATACAAACTGAAGAGTACTGACCCCAATGTCTGTCCAAGTGATGTCATTACTAATAAAAATCATAAGAAATGGTTGCCGCTGTGGATAAGTATTGCCTTTAGAATAAATCATGCACAACAAGAAATAAAACAATATTTAATTTTCATTATGGATCTGCTTTGTGTTTAGATAGAATTGTGTTTAGAATAATATCTTTGATAGATTCTGCAAACTCATTTGGTGCTTCTCGAACTCGAATGATCACGATCTGCAATCCTAATTGTTTAATTGTTCAGCCTCCAACAATGATTCACACAGAGAACAAGAATGACGACTATAATTTTCTTTTCTTATACTAGCAAGAATAATGAATTATTCCATATAATTTTCAAACCCTACCAACTTATTAATATAAGTCTAAGCGAGTTTGGACTGTCTCTTAAATTTAACTCGATCCAATATTCAATGAATCAAATTAATTAAATTTGGTCCATAAATTAATTAATTCAATAAATTAATTCGGGCCTATTAACAAGCAACTCAATTATTAATTGGTGAATCTCAATCTTCTAATTCTCTTTTGTGTGTTACCCATTAGATTCCCAATCATGATACCTAATAATATGAATTATTATTTTGATCTAATTAAAATCGATAAATTAAAACACCCATTTTAATTTATCACTAATTCACATTCGTCTCCCAAATTGACATCTAACAATGTGTCTGGCAATACATGTGACAGAAAATGTCACGTGGTGTGACAAAATTAAACTTTTTCGTTTACCGTGAAACTATAATCCTTATCAATATGATCCGATCAATTACGGAATATGGATATGTGTCAATCTCGTTTATCGATCATTTGTTTTTATCCAACTGTTAAGTCAATGTAAGTCGAAAACTCATTTTCGACTTATGAGTTCACATTGGTTAAATATTTCATTATCAACTTAATTGAATAAAATGTAAATCATAATCTCTTACTATCTAAAAGTGACGAATCCTCCATTAATCATTCACAATCTTTATATGACTCTTGATATACTTGAACGATATCGTATTAGCGACCTTGGCAGAGTAACATCTAATATCACCAAAGTATGACCGTCCTCATATAAGACATTATGATGACCTCAAGTCAAAGGACCAATTCCACTACCGAACGTTAGAGATTAACCACTAACACTTAGATAGTTATCCACGTGGAATCTCTTCAGCAGGTCTCCAATGTTTTGTTCTATAACAAAACATCCACGTGTTCATTCAAATGTCACCACACTTTAGCTTGTGAGATCAGCTACTTACTTCACAAGTAAGAATGCCACACGCGATAGTCTATCCGTAATAACGAAATCCGTATCTCGTTANTGATGACCTCAAGTCAAAGGACCAATTCCACTACCGAACGTTAGAGATTAACCACTAACACTTAGATAGTTATCCATGTGGAATCTCTCAGTGGGTCTCCAATGTTTTGTTCTATAACAAAACATCCACGTGTTCATTCAAATGTCACCACACTTTAGCTTGTGAGACCAGCTACTTACTTCACAAGTAAGAAATGCCACACGTGATGATCTATTCGTAATAACGATATCCGTATTTTGTTATTACATACGACCATAGACGATTCAAAATTTAGTAATATGTAATTTGTATCTCATAATCATAACTCATTGTGATTAACAAATCACTAAGATTTGAATCACGAATTTTGTTATTTAATCTATTAGAATATTAATTTAATTAAATAATAGATATTGTCATAAATACGCATCGATTATATATATTAAAAGTATTTATGTCCAAAATTAATTGGATTTAAAGCATAACACTTACAGTTAGACATATATTCTTTATTGACAACAAGTTTGACATCCCCTAGATGAAGGAAATTCAACTAGTAATGAAATGGATGTGTTTAAAATCAATAATGTAGATTGTTGTCATTAAGAAAAAATGTCGAACTTAATGTCGTTCATGATGTACATATATCATGTACTTGCCTTTAAGATGCCTCCTTATAGGGTCAAAACTACGATCCTTTAGTAGCTTGTTTAGAAACTGTGAGGCACCCATATACAACTAAAATCCAAAAACATAAAATGATTTGCAAGGAATTAAAAATTGGACAAAAAAAAAAAAAAAGACTTTTCACTCATTGATGAGTTTGAATGTTCACATGTTGTAAACGCTATTTATCCAACAAAGTAGATATGACTTAAATACTAGAATCAAAATCGATCTTCAAATAGTTCAATACAAACCCGATAAGTTACAGAGATTTCTCCTCAATTTCATCTCTCCAAAATTTCATCTCTCCAAAATGTTACAAAAATAGTGTTTGTCAACTACAAGTCCAAAACCATTCTCATATGTAAACTGCAACCCAAAAATCACTCAAGTTTTCTACAAAACAAGAAGAAAAGAAAAAGGAGATGAAGAACATTCTAGAGAGAAAAACGAAGGTTTGCACCATCTTACATTACACGCAAATAATCCTTCATCAACGGCTGAACTTCGAACACGTATATGCCCAATGTTAACTCTCAAGCCGTTAAAGAAAGTGAGTTTTACGATTCTAGTCAAAATATTGGCTAGTAAACTTTGAGGCACTATTGCTCAGCATGCATCATGTTGACAATAAAAATCAAATCAACAAATCCTCTAACCTAACCAGGGTTTTCACTTCTAAATCTCACTTGTTTTGATGCTCAAACATGATCCAGAGATGAAGTGGTTATTTGGGAGAGAGATATTTGAATTTCATGGGTCTTTCTTCAAATAAGGGAGTATTTATAGATTTTCTTCTATACTTTGGAGTAATTTGGTATTTTGGGGGAATGACAGATGTTAGCTCCTTATTGACTACTTAATAACTGATTTGATTATAAGTGTTACGCTTTTCATGCACTTTGTCAGCCTATAGCCAGACTGGAGGAAGGAGCGATTCATTATTTTATGCAAAACTCTTATGTGCACCCATTCCCTTCACATAATGTTTAATTCCTCATAAGGAATTTAGTAAGGTTCACAGAGCGGGTTTATTGGTATTAGTAAATAGTCCTTGAAGTTTAGTTTTAATATTCATATTAAATCTAGGACTTGATATTTATTTCACTGCGTTGCGAACGTAATGTTGCTCATACGTACTTTTCTTCATTAGTAATGGATGACATGGGCCGTATTGAGGGGACATGCTATAATTGTTGCAGTTATTTGCATGCGCTGTAGAGTTTTTGACATTTTCTAAGCTGGTGGCTTGTACGTTTTAAATGTGCATGTCAAATACGTTGAATTTCATCCGTGCTTTTTGAATTCTTAATCAGACGCCCATTAATATTTTATGGTCGCAATTGCTTGTGTAATTCAGTCGGCTGTGATTTGTCGAATCACGCAATCTGATGGTTTCGTTTCTTTTTTTTTTTTTTAAATACATTATTCCTCTCTGTAAGTTTCTTCCTTACTTCTTCTATTATTGACCCTTTTTTAGAGACTTCATCTTTGGAGATTTTTGGCATTCTTCCTTTGTTCTAGCCTTTATATCACGTTTTCTCATAGTGAGTCCCATAATATTTCTCAAGACTTTGAAGTTGAAAGTTCTTGATTTAAGAATTCACCCCCCAGTACACACCTTTTTCCTCTGATGGATCCTACCGCCTTGCAGCACAACCTCATCCTATACGAATCCTTCCTCATTCGAGGCTAGCCTGTAACTTCTTA